GTATAGAGTCAACCGCTTTCTCTTTCCTTTTGAAACCAGGCCTTGGCACTTAGCACTAGAATGCTGAGTATTACCTCCAAGTAACCGAATTACGAAACGCCACCTTGACCTTCAAGATTCAGAACCGAAGAAAGAATAGCGACTCTTCCAGGACTTAGTTAAATGAAAGACACACATTAGTTAGTAGAGGGGGCATTCTAACAGCAAGTTAACAAAGTCAGAAATACAGGACTGTATGTGAATGATCTGCCAATAAGACGATTTATTTATTTTAAAACAGAAGAGCTTGTAGGCCAAGTACTATAAAGTGAAATAGGAAGGAAGGAAGGAAGGAAGGAAGGAAGGAAGGAAGGAAGGAAGGAAGGAAGGAAGGAAGGAAGGAAGGAAGAGGTAGGAAGGAGGGAGGAAGGAAGGACTGTCCAATGGGAGTGGGGTGGAGGGAATTTGAGTAGGACATCCTTTTTACATTCTTTCTGGATGAAAAACTCAAAACTCATTGCCATTGATTCTATATTGACTCATAGCAACCCTATAGGACACGGTAGAACTGCCCCCTGTGCGTTTCTGAGACGGAAACGGTTAACAAGAGTTAACCGGATGAAAAGAGATGGCAAAAAATAAATCATTTCAAGAGAAACTGGGACCCAGAGGTGGCAGACAAAGGGATGAGGAGAAACAGGGAGTCAGGCAAGTCCTTCGTCCTCTGGTCCCCTGGGATCTAAAAAATCTGCCACTTGGGTGAACTGGTTCACCATTTCACTGTCTTTTCTTCCTTGTCTGTCCGAGACAGCTAATGAGTCTTTCATTCCCTCCTTCTCTCCTAGCTCAAAGCACACTGAAAATGCAGGAGGCTATGGATGAGTGGAGACACAAATAGGGAAAGATGGTCTCTTGCATTTATTCATGAGTGGATGGATAAATGAGTCCACATACATACTATGACTAGGCCACCTTGGGAGGTACTAGAAAGATGAGGTATTGTATGCTCATGAAGATTCCTACTGCTTGGCTGCCTTGAAACCATGCTGATAAAGAGTGTGAGTTGTGTCTTTATGAATGGCTGCTGTGGACACAGCAGAGCCGAGTGCAGCACAGAGCCTCTTGCTCTTCCTAGCTTCAAGATAGCTGTGGTGCTGGTTCTTCGAGGCCAGGAAAAGCCGCGTGATGTGGAAAAGAAGGCCCGGGGCCGTAGGGAAGCACATGAATGGAAGTGGTATGGGGAGAGAGGTCTTCAATGCTAAGGGGACAGTTTGTGCCAAAACGTAGGTGCCTGGTGAAGAGGACTAGCAGGCCACAGATAGAGGAGCAGGCTGTGGGTGGCCTTGATGTCTCAGATTATTACTTATTTTCATGTTGTGCATTCACAGGGATCAAGCTCTCTTTGCTTTCCAAGCTTTTCCAAGTCTCCCTAGCTCAGTGGAACCTCAACCGCAGTTTGATACAAAGTCGATAGAGAGCTGGTACCCAACAAGAATTGCTATGGGCCAGTCAATAAACAATAATAAATAACTCTGTGTCTGAGTCAAGTCAGTGACTCTGGGAACCGAGCACAAGTCATTCGCCAGCCACAGATTCACTAATGACAAGCAGCTGTCATTTCTGTCTTACGAAATCACAAATCTGGATATAGCACGATGAGAATTTTCCAAACTCCAGGTGAGAGGTGTTGAAGTCCAGATAACCACCATCATGTCATCAGAATTAGGCATCTCCCCAAAATCACACCAAACTCACTGCCATTGAATTGATGGCCTTTTAACCCTGTACGACAGGATAGGGTAGAACTGCCCTTGTGGATTTCTGAGACTTTTTTTTTTTTGGGGGGTAGGAAAATGATTTTTTTATTGCATTATGTAAATTTTCCATTCAAATCATCATAACTAATGGTCAGGTTTATAGCTGTGCATATTTTGTAGTTTTTGATAGTGTAGGTTTCCCAGATTTGGTCCCTTCTACTTATAGAATGAAATATATATATATATTTCATATATATATATAATATGTAACAGAAATGGAGCTGAACACAGAACAGACTGGCCACCGCTTCAATTCCGGAGCATTCTGAGACTCATTGTTTACAGATTAGAAAACCCCGTCTTTCGCCCAAGGAGCGGCCGGTGGCTTCGACCTGCCGACCTTGTGGTTAGCAGCCTAATGCATAATACTTTGTCACCAGGGCTCCTTAGGCATCAGAGGAGACATGCATTGAAGCAGGTTCACTAAGACCTAGCCACAAGCATGCCTCCTCCATCGCTCTTTGCTAACAATCCTCTCTAATCTTTAAGAGTGACCTCACGACTCCAATCACCTCAACACTACAGGGCAGGGTTTCTGAAAGAGCCTACCCCTGTGGAGCTACTGAGAGACCAAGCATTCTCTTCCAAAGGATCTTGGCCCCAAGGGAGCTACTCTTGCCCTACTAAGGGCGTCCCCCATCATTGTCACCTCTCCAGAGGCCACTTGATTTGCTTGTAAGTTAATAAGAAAGAAAGAAGCAAAGAGAGAAAGAAAGAAAAGAGCAGCAACACACACACACACACACACACACACACACACACACACTACCCGCCTCTGTCTTCCCCCACCACCCTCACCAAAAAGAAATCCTGACTCCCTTAAGTCCTGACTTTGAAGAGATTAACTGGGAACTGGCTCTTCTCCATTTCTCTTGAAGATATATTTTATAGAACATAAAGCACGGAAATTAAAAAATTGATAGCAATACCAAGAAGGCGCTATTTTGACCAGACACCATAAGGCCTGTTGGTGTAGAAGTCATTGCGGAGAGAATCACACAGCCTCAGAAGTCAATCTGCTGCTGCGGCTCCTCCTCAGGCGACTCTGTTGGCCCACTTGCCGGCGTCCGCCGCCTGCCTCCCACGGAAGTTTTGCGTGGTTAAGCACCAGACGAGCCAGAAAAAGCAGTGTAAACGTTCTGCAAATTAACACCACTTAGTCGGTGGCACACTTTCTGTCTCCCTCCACCCCCCCACCCCCACCCCCACTTTCCCTTTTTCTCTCCTCTAGGCCTGGATGCTGAGTGCTGCAGACAAGGGCAACCAGGCGAAGCCACAGGTAACCCTTTACAGTAAAGTACAGATTCAACTTTTTGTTCCCGGACACTAAGGGGCGGGTGGAGGGGGGGGCGTGGGACGGGGGGCATCTCTTTAACCTTTAGCTAGCACATCCAAGAAGGGGTCTCGGTCTCGCCATCTGAAACACCCTCCTGCCCCAGACCTGACTGCCAAGACCTGACCAACAGCCATCGCGGCCCAGGCTTGGCCTCCCTGCTCCCCACAGCCCAGCCGCTCACGTTCAGCATGAAAACCAGACAAGAGGAGGCCAACCAAACAGCTACAAACAATTGACCCAGACGTTCAGTCGTGGAAAGGCTGCAAACTCTTAATGTTCAAAACAAAACCCAAACCCTGATGTCGTCTGAAAGAAAACGACAGAGGGACCTTGAAAAACATCCCGAGGAAGTATCTCCTCTTTGCAGTTTGAGCATTGAAGAGGCAGAATAATGTCTACTGTGAGTGCGTCTGCATCCAGGCCGTGCAGCCACACAGCTCGGGCAAGAGATGAAGCACCACAGTTCCGTACATTCACCATTAGGAACATGGGCCCCGCGGTGAGGGCCCAGAACTAGCTACCTCAGGGCTATACGACCAGTGAAGCCTGTGGGAGCCAGGACTCAGCAGAGCAGGCAGGTTCACCGGTCCCCAAAGTTTCCCGTCTTCAACCAGGCATCGCTCACCACTTGACTCCGACACTCTGTTAGTGGAAAATACGTGTTTTCCTTCTCTGGCAGGCTTCCACCGTACACACTGTCATTTGAAGGCATGACTTTCGGGTTTTTGCTTTTGAGGATGGGCGGGGGGCTGTTGTTGTGTGTCATCCTGTGAAGCTCCTGAAGTCAGTACTGGCTCATTGTGACTCAGTACAACAGAACACACCACCACCTGGATTTGAGTCCAGCACCCCCTCACAAGTGTGATCACGTTCGGACCCATCATGGGAAGAAAACAATTTGCGTATGCCTCAATACATACATTTTTGCCAAGAGCAGAGCGTCTAATAGCTAGCACAAGATTCTCAGAGCTGCATTTGCCCCTTCCATGTGGTACAGCATCCCAAGCCAGAGGAAGCCCTGTTAGCTGCAAAGTTCCTTATAACCACATTATAAAACAGATGGCACTAGTGGGGGGGGGGGGAGAATCCTAATACAATCATTGGTGGGTTGTTCATGCTCCAGCAGTTTTGTAGCAATAAGTCTTAGTGATGATTTCAAATGGTGAGATGATCTTCTGGTTTCAGAAAGACATTGTCCACCGTGGTCAGAAAGGGACTTCTCATGCATAGTGTTAAAGGACTGTCCACTGCATCTTTCTGCTGGCAAAGAACCCGCATGCTGCTCATGCCGTGGCCTTCTAGTTGTTTCCAACACAGCAACTCTTGTAGGCCACAGGAGAATGACCCAATACTGTTTGTACGACTGGAAATCTCTACAGAAGCCGACAGCTCCTTCTTTCTCCTGGAGCAGCTGGTGGATTTGAACTGCCAGCCCAGCAATTAACCCCTGGCACCACTGGAGCATCTTAATCAATTAAGAATCACCTAAGCCATTGTATTGGGCATCCTGAGATTTATAAACGCTTCCTTTAAGGGACCAAAGGGGCCCAAGGTACTTTAAAATCAAAACCCAAAACAACCTAGGAAGCATGGCCAGTCCTGCTTTGTCTGTCCAGGGAGGTGGTGGGATTTGAGGGCTAATCCTACCCAGAGTGTGACCACAGCTGGAGAGGGACACATACAAACACAAACTGGCCCAGGGTTAGAAAATGAGTGGGCGTGTCCACAGGTACCCAATCAAAACTCATCAGGAGAGAGTGGTCATGCTGCTGAATTCTTCCCAGCTGGCTTTCCCTCTCCATAAATGGCCTGCCCTCCAAACATAATCCCCAACAGTCCCAAAGTGGGAGACCTAGACAGTGACTTACCAGTGGCAGGTGGGTGGTCACAGGAGGGGTTTCCTGAGCCAGGGCCTCCGCCCTCTGCCTGGTCAGCGGCCTCTTCTGGGGGCAGGCCCATGCCATAGGCGCACTGAGGCAAAGGTCCACTTTGAGGGAAGCCAACGATGGGCTCCCCGTGCTCCCCAGGGGGCTCAGTGCAGCCCATGCAGCTGTCTGCCGATAGGGAGCTGGCCGCCCAGTGGGGGCAGGCGCCACCTCCCACCTCTCTTTGCAAGTACTTCTCAGAGGCCACGGGAGCCCAGTCGGTCCTGCCCGGCGACTCGGCCAGGTGGCAGCCCCCAGAGTCCACCAGGCTCTCGGTGCCAGTGAAGCACTGGCTCAGACTGTCATTCTCCCCCACCTCCAGGGGCTCAGAGAAATGGGCTGTGCATTTGCTCCCAGGCTGAGTCAGGACTGGGGGACAGTCTGGGGCTGGAGAGGGCCGGTCCACATACTCGTCTTCTGTGGGCACCTGCCTCAGGGGGTCCCCCTTGATCTCGCTGACCAGGGTGAGCAAGGTGGTATCTTCAGCCGCACACACAGCCCCGTCAGGATAGCTCAGGTCTTCAGGAAAGGCCTTCTCTTCCAGGGTCAGCAGTAGCACTCCTTCGCATACTTGGTGGGGACCCGAGGTTGCCATGTGAGGGCTGACAGCACTGTCGCCTGCAGAGCCCTGCTGATTGAAATCCAGAAGGAAGAGCTATGAGTACCCACAGCTATTACAGCATGGCTCTGCTCAACACTCCCCACGATGGTGGTATGCTAATTATTTTCACCACCACAAGTACAAACAGGGTGTTCACTGGAGCACACTTTATTTGTGTCATTTAAAATTACATCAGAAGAAGAAAAAGAAAATAAACTCAGCATGGGTAGTGGGGAGAACCCTAGGGTAGCATGCACTAAGTGAACTTGAATGGGGCGTTTTGACTATCAGCCCTCAATCTCAATGCATGTAAACAAATATTGAAGTCTAATTAGCAGACGTTTCACTGTGGGAGCCCTGGTGGCTTAGTGGTTACTTGTAGGGCTGTGATCCAAAAGATCAGCAGTTCGGAACCACCCGCTGCTCCGAGGAAGAAAGGCAGGGCTTTTCTTTAACTCCAGTAAGAGTTACAGTCTTGGAAACTCCTGGAGTTCCTATGGGGATCCTACAGGGTCAGTATGAATCAGCATCGACTCAATGGCAGTGAGATTTAAGTGAGCAGATTTCTCACGGGGGATGGTTCAGTCCTTCTAAAAGGAGCTTCTGCATGCTCTACAAGTGAGCGAGCAAGTGAGTGTCCTGAGAAGAATGGGTTTCTGTCTGGCAGGGCATGGCAAGAGGAAGACTGGAGTGGACCCTGTGGTACAGGGCCTGACGCTGTAGAGAGCGGCTGTGTCTAGGAATATAGGTCATAAGCATCCTGGGGATCATTAGAGATACTCTGATATCACACACGGATTGGATTAACAGTATCATATCACTGTTAGTTGTGTGTGTGATAAATGAGCAATAGTTATATAGAGGCTTGGCGGCACAATGAAGCATTCCACTGCTGACGAGAAAGTGGGCGGTTCAAACCCACCAGCAGCTCGGCAGGAGCAAAGGTCTGAGACGGCAGGGAGGAGACCCCATGGAGAGGTCCACGCTGAGCTGCCAGGTCGCTATGGACCTGAATGAACTCAATGGCACTCCACATATCAGAGAACACTCTGCCCTGAAGAATAACTACAGAGTGATCCACTGAAGGCTAGGTGAGCACGGGGGGACCATTTACTCTAAAGAAGCAAGGCTCGCACAAGAGAAAAAGTGCATGCCTGGTGACTGTGGGGTGTGGAGGGCAGAGAGAGGCTCTTTGTACTGTTCTTGCGACTTTTTCATGACATTGCAATTATATTAAAAAGAAAAGTTATTGACATAAGGACAGAGGAAAGGAAAACTGCATGGCTGTCCCTCTTAGAATCGACTTGGCCATCCCGACAGGCACTAACGCCATGACGTTGGTCCACAGAGATGAGCGGAGTGGAGTAACATGCAGGGTACAAAGGGCATTTGGGTCACGGACTGGCTTGGGCTTCCGACGACTCGGAACAGACCAATGCTGGCGCGGTGGCATGAGCCCCTCCCGCAGCTCCATCTCCGACACAATGGGGTCTACTATTTGACTCCTCCACTTCCGTCGTAGCTATCCAGACTCAATGACCTGCTCTGCAGGGCTTCCGCGGCTGTAAATCTCTACGGAAGCAGACTGCCCTCTCTTTCTCCCACGCAATGTTTAACTCCCGGGGCCGCCAGGCGCCCTGGATCTCGGACTAGCGACAGCTGTGTCAGCCGGGCTGTTGGTGTACAGAGCGAGCACTTTACCTTGTTTCCAGTGAGGCGGCTGCAGGCCGCGTTGAGCCAGTGCCACAGGTTAGCTAGAAACACAAAGCAAAAAGAAGGCTGTCAGAGGCTGACTCCAAGAAAACCCAGGCTCTCCGCACGCTGCCCTGCCCAGGATGCACTCGGGTTGACCACCGGCAGTGCACTGTTCTCTGCAAGCATAATCCTCTGTAAGCTCCTCCCAGTGCTAACACCTGTCAGGGAAAGCAGGTGAAAGTCAGTCAGTCCACTGACGGCTTGGAACAAAGAAGACTGGCGTGTTACTCTCCCACGCAATTCTGGCATTAGTGTAGACAACAAACGTGGGCCGATGCAGGGACCCCAGTGCGGGTCTCTGCAATTTCCAGGGTGGAGAGAATCACGGTACTAATGACGTGATGAGCCATCAAGTCGATTAGGGCTCACGGATCAAAGGACGGAGTAGAATTGCCCCCCAGGGTTCCCAGGGCTGCCATCTGACTAGAATCAGCCTGCCACATCTTCCTCCCGCAGGGCAGCTGGTGGGTTTGAATCCCTGGCCTTCCGATTCACGGCTGAGCACTTCAACTCTGTGGCACTAAGTAGCAAGACTGCCATGTACAAATATTTGAGTATTGCTCCTGGTTGCCGAGGAAGGTTTCTTCCAAGGAAAGAGTTACAAATTCCCTTTTATTGTCAGCAACTTTATTTGGATATCATTTAAATTTTTGAACAATAGCAAGAATAATAGTGATGATGATAATAGCACTAATGGACATGCACTCAAGGCTTGGAGCGTGCTAGCACTGCTATATGCATTTTACACACACGAACCACGTCTTCAAGGAGCCCTAGTGACACAGTGGGTTACACACTGAGCTGCTAACCATACGGTTGGTGGTTCAAACCCACCAGCCATGCCTCGGGTGAAAGGTGAGGCTTTCTATTCCTGTAAAGCAGGTGTCCTCAAACTACGAGGACATTTATCCAGCCTGCCGGGTGTTTTTGCCCCATTTGTTTTTTTACTTCAAGATAAGATATGTGCAGTGTGCATAGGAATTTGTTCACAGTTTTTTTTTAAACTATAGTCCAGCCCTCCCATGGGTCCGAGGGATAGTGAACCGGCCCCCTGTTTAAACAGGTTGAGGACCCCTGCAAAGAAACCCAAAGGGGCCATTCTACTCTGTTCTATAGGGTCACTATGAGTTGGAATCGACCCAAGGGCAGTGGGCTTGGTTTTGGTTTAGCAGCCAGATGTTTACAACAGCACTATGACGCATGCACAGCTTACAAAGAGGAACCTGAGGCTTAGAGAGTTTATAGACGCTGCAAAGTCACATACCAGAATCCATACTATGCACAGTATGCATACAGACTGGCCAGCCCAGCACCTGGCAGGTTTCAGTGCATGGTAGGGACCAGGAGCACAACACGGGAAGAACTGAACACGGGAAAGGAAGGAGGAAGGATGAAAAGAAGGCGGAAGGATGGAGATGTAAGGGGAAATGACAGTACAAGGTTGTGGTCATTAGGTTTTTGTGTCAACTTGGCTGAGACTGATTCTCAGTTGGCTGGCAGGTGAAGTCCAGTCATTCTCCTTGATGTGACTTAATATAATATGATCAACTCCATAGCAGGATCTGCTATAAATAGCCCAGCAGCTGTGGGAAGATTATAGCCGAGTACAGCACCTTCCTCAGTACACAACCCTGATGCAATTGAAAGGAAGCTTCCTCAGGTGTGCGGCCTACTTCCTGTATAAGTGAAAACTACAGTAAAACTTGCTTGCTTCCTGCTGGGTCCAGATCCTGAATCTGCCTCAACAGCCTGCCATATTCCCTGCAGACCCTGGGAGCCATCAGCATCCTGCCATCTGCCCTGTTGATCTTGGATTCGTTCTCTCCAGTCACAAGTATGACCTGCTGACCCTGGATTCGCACACGACTGCAGCCTGATGTGAGCCTGTGGTGTTCCTGCCGATCTTGGGCTCATCACCCTCCAAAGCTACAGGAGTCAGGAGAAGCGCCAAGCTTAACATTGGACCCACGGAACTCAGCCTGGACGTCTGCTTCTACAACTCTCTGAGTCATCTTCT